AGAGAGGCGGGGCATAGAGGACTTACAATAATGTACAGTATTTGAAAAATAATGTGTTTTTTGAACATTAAAGCATGTCAACATATTCTGTTACACCAAATACACAAAATATTGATCTTTAAAAAAGCATCATATGACCCCTTTAATAATAGCCGTTTGATGGCTTCCATGGCTGTAATACACGTGTTTTCCACCAACTGGCAACCCGGGGTGTCGAAATCCTATTGGTTAAATTGGCAGTGGGCGGAGTCACAGACCAAAACAAAACCCAACATTCCGACACGGAACACACATTTCAAAGCAGAATAAACGGCTGTAGCATTGTTTTTCAGAGAAAGTTAGCATGTTTCCTAAACATCTGCAGACTACGGTATTTTATGCTTCAGTGCAGCCAAAATATTACATACATACTAAAGTACATAAAGATCACGATCTTTACTGGGAACACAAAAGAGATACAGAATACCAGCAATGAATATTGTTGCGTACTCTTCTACACCAATTTTGACATAAATTTTCACTGAATTTTGCCTTTGCAGGGCAGCACACCAGAACAACATTAAATAGCGTTATTCTGTAGTACTGTATTGTTTTTGACAGTATCTATCTACCTGTATCTAAAGCAAGATACCTTGCTGTAGAGGAGTGATTTTTGCTTGCCCTTCGGTTTCTCAGAAAGACGGAAGAAGGCATGGTATTCCACACACATCTTCCAGAAGGCCTTGCAGACGTCACGACTGGCCATGGCAAACTCGACGGTGTCCTTACGAGACTCCTGAACAGACACAATGACGCAAAACCATTTTTCAGATTTGTTCCTCATGCCACATAAACAAGGACCATGGATATTTGTCCATGATATTTTCCATTACGAAATGCCATTCTTTGGAGGATGAGCAAAAATAATTACCGCAATTGTTGCATGAAGTTTTATCAAAAAGTGTTTTCTCTTGAAGCTGAGTTTGCGAATATTGGCCCAGCTGAAAGTGTTTATTTGAGTATTTCCCTAAAATAAAAACACAAAAGATAGCCGTGTTAAAGCTGCTAATGCTTAACCTGGCTTTATCATGAATGACACAGTCCCTACCTGAAAAACCAGCACTCCAGAGTAAGTGACGGCTAAATTGATTCTCATGTCCTCTCCATCGCTGGCGGCGTGAGGCCGGATGCCGTACATGTCCAGCTTATGGGCCACTTCAAGCAACTGACCGTCCGCTTCGGCTGGGGATTGACCTCTACAGCACAGAGAAAACACATCCGGGGTGTTTTACTGAGTCTTTGTGTTGTTTTTAAGTCTGCATCTGTGACAAACGATCCATGATCCTTCAGAAATCATTAAAAACATTTCATCTTATTGTCACAGCACTCCAGAGTGAGTGACGGCTAAATTGATTCTCATGTCCTCTCCATCGCTGGCGGCGTGAGGCCGGATGCCGTACATGTCCAGCTTACGGGCCACTTCAAGCAACTGACCGTCCGCTTCGGCTGGGGATTGACCTCTACAGCACAGAGAAAACACATCCGGGGTGTTTTACTGAGTCTTTGTGTTGTTTTTAAGTCTGCATCTGTGACAAACGATCCATGATCCTTCAGAAATCATTAAAAACATTTCATCTTATTGTCAGTGTTGACGTCTGTGTTTGCTGCTTAATGTTTTGGTCACACTTTAGTTTAGGGACCAATTCTCACTGTTAACAGTTGCTTATTAGCATGCATATTACCAACATATTGGCTGTTTATTGATACTTATAAAGCACATATTAATGTCTTATTCTGCATGAGCATATTTTAGATCTCTTAATCCAACACTATACCTAAACTAACAACTAGATTACTAATTATTATTAAGCAGTAATTAGGAGTTTATTGAGGCAAAAGTCTTAGTTAATAGTGAGAACTGCTCCTCAAACTAAAGTGTGACCAACATTTTTGTAGAAACCATTCAAATGTTTGGGGCACGACTTAAAAAAACACACAGAAATTAATGCTTTTATTTGCATTAAATTGATCAAAAGTGACAGTAAAAAATGTATAATATTACAAAAGATTAAATGCTGTCCTTTTGAACTATTCATCAGAAGAATCATTTTATATGCATATTTAGAAATAAACGTAAAATGTTGTTTCTATAAAAATAGTTTTATATTTCTCCATTTTAACAGAAAAAATATATATTTTCAAAACCAAGATATAAAACTTTTTATTTCAAGGCAACATTTCTCATTTTAATTTCGTGTAAAATGTTCTAAAATTATGTACTAAAATAACTAAAACACTGAAATGTGTATATACCAATATATATATATATATATGTAAAAAAAATTCTAAAATTCTAAAAATACAAACTATATTTTGTATATTTAAAATATAAATAAAAACCATAATGGTATCTCAATTATACTAAAAAAAAAAAAAACACTGAACCAAACCATAAACATAACTGACAAATAACTTTCTCATATTTAATACACAGTAACACTCATAATCGTGACAAATTATATTTTACTTTATTTCATAATATTGATTTTAAAAAAAATCTTGGTAACACTTCATTTGTAGCCTTTTTATAAAATGCATCATAAAAGTATTTTAATGCATTAATCATTTCTTATAATGCACGTCACTTAATTATGTCATTAATAACTCTAACCACAGTTATAATGCATTATAATACTTATCTATTCACTGTTACACACAAAATATAATGCATTAAAACACATGATAAACAACCAATTTCCGATGTAACAAGGAATATATTGCATTTTAAATGGTTGTAATTTTTATGAAAATGAATATCGTACACTATGAATACCTTACACTGCATTATACATAAAGGCCTCAAGTAAAATCTCTTTGTATTGTGTGCATACGAGGCATTTGTAAATCAGCGAAGCACTATGACTGACTATTAACTGAACATTACCCGTGTCTCCTATGGAAACGCATGATCTTTTTGTGGAGGCACTCTTGGTTTGGAATGTACCTCTTGTTGTCCAAATGCTGCTTGTCCAGCTCTTCTACATAGTCGCCAATCTCTGCTGCAGAAACACGCAGACATTACTTCAGTCACATTAGTTCAATCAAACACAAGCAGCATGGGAACGTCTGCATACCCTGAAGAAGATCGGAAACCAGCAGAGCAGCGCTGTTATCGTTACACGTCAGACTGCCGTTAGACAGATCCTGCTTGATCTGCAGCGCAAACAGATACCTGTGAGAGACGGAGTCCAGAGATGTTCACTGTGCCGTTATTGTTTGATGTAGTGTGTGATGGGCTGTGCTGCACCTGGTTAGTTCTTTCTGCAGTTGTCCTGGGTCTGGAGGGAAAAACTTGACTATGAAGCGGAAAGTCGGATCGTTCCTTCCTGTTTTAAGAAGAGGAGAATATCGTTTTTGGTTGTTTATCAGCTTTTCCCTTCACAGATGTTAATTTTTACTGGAGTGGTGTGGATTATTGTGATGTTTTTATCAGCTGTTTGGACTCTCATTCTGACGGCACCCATTCACTGCAGAGCATCCATTGCTGAGACACTGATGCTACATTTCTCCAAATCTGATGAA